AAATACACACAGACAACCCCGTGACAATATGCGTTTTGTAACGCTGTTACACAGCACAAAACGCATGAAGGCGGATACATTCCGATCAGCTGCAGCAAATACCAATATCAACCATTCACTGGCAAGAGCGTCGATTTGCCGCTCATTTAAAGATTGCTCAGAAGCAATCTGATGGGCGGAGCGGAGGGGAGGGAGATCACACTATTTGACATGTGCCAGTACCAATTTACCATCGAAACGAATGAAAGAATTGCACGAAAATTCTTACCGGTGCAGTGGAATCCTCGGCGAGGACAACGCTACTTACTGTTGCGTCTTGTCAGTCAACGAGTACATAAAAATACGTTGTAGTATGGGGCTGCTTCTTGCCTTTTCACGATTTTTCGCATGCAGAGCCCAAAAATTAGTGCATATTGAACGGAAAATCATCGGTCGGCACTGGATTTCATGCTGAGCACAAAAAAAACCCCTAAAAGGTACCCTTCCTTCCCCCTTGGTGCCCACCCATAAAACGCGCCGGATTCCAATTTCCCTTCCTCCCCGTCTCCACTCATAAAACGCGTCGGCTTCCAATTTTTACCTCAAACTAAGGCCTTTTCAATCGACAACCTCCTTTCTCTTGCCTTAATGACTGTAGAAAATTTATCCACCATCCCCTCCCCCCTCCCGGCATCCCCTCCCTTCGAACTCGCTCTCTAACCTCCTCCCCCCTCTCCTCCTCCGCTCCCTCGGCGATCCCCTCGCCCACTCAAAATCACCTCCTCCGCCATCGCAAACCGACCCCCAGCCAACAAAACCCATCTCCACAGGCCTGGCCGAGCTGAACCAAGTTTTAGTAGCTGCTTTTTCGTTCTGTGAGTCTCTGCCGTATACGCTTTATTTCATCACTGTCGACTTTCCTTCTCTAAACTCTCTTCGGTTTTGTACTCTCTCGCGCAAGCGTCGCACTTCTCTATTTTTCCTCAAAATCTATGCTGTCTCGCCGTCTATGTTATTGATGTGATGATTGAAGCATATTTAAAGTTTCATAATGGGACTACAGCCTATTTGTGTGGAGTGCTGATTTGGTGAGTGGTAGTGCAGTACGGTGAGGCGGGGGAAGAAGGGGTGGTGGAGAAGGGGAAGTGTCTTTTGTTGGGGAGTGGGAAGGAGGGACGTACTTGCTTGGGGGTGGCGGAGGGGGGCGGGATATTTTCTGCCGGGGGCGTGGTCTGGTGACTTTGCCGGGCTGTTTTATGCGGGATAGCTGGAATTCTTTTCGAGTGGGACCGTTAATCCGGGGAGAGCAGGAGTCTGCTGTCTTTTTGAGGGTCTCTTTTTGGATATGTGATGGGTACATAGGTGGTGCAGGGGCAAGTATCGTTGCTTCCATGCAGCAGACCGGGGGTTTCAATCCACCGGTGGGAAAAGCTGCCCTTTGATGATTCGTTCATTCGTTTCGATGATAAATTGGTACTGGCACGCACCAGGGCACTACCCCGCCATCAGCCACTTTTAAGCAATCTGTTTAAAAGAGTCAACCATCGACAGCCTTGCCAACGATTGGTTATTGCTTAGCCATATCACAACTGTTGCTGCTTCCCCGGTGCCTTAGCAAATAGGAAAGGCTTTCTGATGGCCAGGGTACCTTCACCGCCGGGATCGTTGTGGAACTTGGGGAGGAGTGAAAACGAAAGAAAAGCATCGAGATTTGGGGAACTACTTCTCTGAGATCTGGAAATCTTGCTCGGATTGGGAAGCCCATTAGAAAGTATTTTACTCCGGGGGCTGGCAGGGATTGCACTTGGGCAGCTAGTGGGCCAGTCGTTACAAATTAGTGGTTCTGTTTTATCAGTATATTCCAGCCTTATGGTACGCCAACCCACGTACGTTTTCCCGAATACGGTCCTGGGCCATGCTCAGAAAATTTCAGCACTCCAACTGCTCTGACTGCCGAGTTACGTC